TTTTTTCGACTACACCTTGCAAATTTTGTTGAAATATGAACAGATACTGTTCCTTTCGCATAATACGTACTAACGGACAAAAAAAATTTTTTAAATACAACCCCAAACTATTATTGACCGACCACTGTGATTCACAGTTTTTTTCAATCCCAAGATGGTCGGTTCTACGTTACCGGATTGACTCGGAGCACCCACTCCGACCAAGGACCATTACCCCAGCAGCAACTCCCCCCATTTTTTCGCACTGACCTACCGGCAAGTCTGCTCCGCATACTACTGGTCCGCGCCGGCATAGAGCAAAACCCCGGACCATGGACATGCAGTGTCTGCAACCAAAATATACACCACTCATCCACCTCAGTCCGTTGCAAAAGCTGCAATAACTGGTGTCATCTGAAACCATGCTCAGGCCTCCGGCACCATAGGGAGTGGAGTGCTAACTTTGTTGCATCGTGCTGCAACAATTCACAGCAAGCCCAGCATTCCACACAAACAGCGCCCGCCCAACCAACAGCCAGTGGACCAACTCCCAGCATACAACCCCGGACATCCACTCAAAGCAGATGGTACTGCAGCGTCTGCCAGAACCTGATAAGGCGAAACACCACATCAGTAAGATGCAACGCATGCAACAACTGGTGCCACCTGAAACGCTGCTCCGGCCTCACACACCATCGCGAATGGAGTGCTACTTTCACTGCAGCCTGCTGCGCTGCTACCTCACAACCCCAACCGCCTGCGCCTACATCTGTGCCAATGCCAACGCCAGCGGCAATCCCACAACCGCGGCCCACGGTCACAACCACACCGGCACCAACACCGGTGACAACACCAGCGGTCGGACCACCACACCCGCAACAAACACAGCAGGCACAGCAAGCAGTTCAGGCAGCGCGCCAGTACTCCCTCACCCCGCGAATTACCATCACCAGGCCCAACTCCATCAAACTATTGCAGTTCAATTGCAACGGACTACAAAGCAAGATCGCTGAGATAGTCAGCTTCATGAAGCGCAACAAAATCTCAGTCGCGGCGGCCCAGGAAACCAAACTCCACTCCGGCTCTAGCCTTCAGAGACAGGATGAGTTCAACGTCATCCGAAGAGACCGCCCTCGCGGCGCCGGAGGCGGCATCGCCTTTATATTGCACAACGCGATCCAATACCGGCTCATTACCCCCCGAATCGCCGCCAACGATACACTCATTGAGCACCAAGGCATGGCAATCAAGTCGGGAGATACTGAGCTGGAAGTCGTCAACGTGTACATACCACCTGCCACCAGTTGCCCAGCAGGGTATCACCCGAAAATAAGTGCGCTACTCGAAGGCGAAAACCGGGTAGTGCTAGGGGATTTTAACGCGCACCACGAACTCTGG